TAAAGGGCTCAAATAATTTATGTGAAATATTTATAAAGCGTTCGACGGTCAATATTTTGCTTCGTTTTCAATGGCCGACGGTACTAACCAAGAGATTATAATCTCTTGTATTAAACTATTCTATATCTTAAGATGCTTGACGAATGACGGACCCTATTGAGACTCTCTGAATGGTCTTCTTGAAGATAGCCGTCGTTTTCAGTAGAAGCCTGGTGCGTACAAGAGTTGCAGAGTTGGAGATGGTGATTTCCTAGTACTGAGGGCATTAAATTGGCAAATAGTCAGAAGAGTTCACTATTATTGTTTTTGGCACAAAATTTGTTTTCAACAACATTACATCTACTTCAATCACTTTAAAAGTATTTTTGGTTTGGGAAAAACCCATCCTCGTGGTATAATTTTAGTTGATCTTAGTTGTAATACATCCTCTTCACTGTAATTCTTTTTGTGACGCACCCTTTTCTCTGATCCTCCTTTAATTGACGTTATCACCGGGAGATGCAAGCCTCCTCTCAGACGCCGATCGTACCTGGCCACCCCATTTGGTGCATTGTCCAGTAAAAATTAATAGAGAGATAAACTTTCATTTTTATGAAGGTAATAAAATGATTTCGAGTGCAATTTGTTCTTTATAGGCGCGAGTTAATTATTCAAATAATCTAAAAACAAGCCCGTACGGGAAGTGAAATATGTAAATTTGTTAGTCAATTTTTCTCTTTCAAACAACTTACGATGGACAATTCTTCCCAGAACATTTGTGAGTAAGTGTTAGGAGGACGAATATTGTAACAGACCTTCCTTTCACGCAGCTTACCTTGGTCGATTTTATTTCCATTGTGCTACCCTTATCCTCATTTCCACACTGCTTATAGGAGTATTTCTCACTTTCTGTTTCATCTTCTTCCAGCTCTGAAGACAGATGAGCTCCAGGTTATTTTAATTACATGCCATTCATGACCAAACTGAGTATTAGACCCTATTATGACAGAGTGACAGAGTGACAAAATGACAGAGTGACAGAGTGACAGAGTGACAGAGTGACAGAGTGACAGAGTGACAGAGTGACGAAATGAAAAAAATGACAAATTGACAGAGTGAAAGAGTGGCGGAGTGACAGAGCGACAGTGTTACAGTGTGACAGAGTGACGGAGTGAAAGAGTCAGAGTGACAAAGTGACAGTGTGACAGAGTTACAGAGTGAAAGAGTGACGCAGTGACAGAGTGACAGAATGACGAAGCGATAGTGTGAAAGAGTGACAGAGTGACAGATATGCAGACTGATTGACGTACAAAGCGGAGTGACAGAGTGAAAGAGTGACAAAGTGACAGTGTGACAGAGTGACAGAGTGAAAGAGTGACGGAGTGAAAGAGTGAAAGAGTGACGGAGTGACAGAGTGACAGAGTGACAGAGTGACAGAGTGACAGAGTGACAGAGTGACAGAGTGACAGAGTGACAGAGTGACAGAGTGACAGAGTGACAGAGTGACAGAGTGACAGAGTGACAGAGTGACAGAGTGACAGAGTGACAGAGTGACAGAGTGACAGAGTGACAGAGTGACAGAGTGACAGAGTGACAGAGTGAAAGAATGACAAAGTGACAGAGTGAAAGAGTGACAGAGTGACAGAGTGACAGAGTGACAGAGTGACAGAGTGACAGAGTGACAGAGTGACAGAGTGACAGAGTGACAGAGTGACAGAGTGACGGAGGGACAGTGTGAAAGAGTGACAGAGTGACGGAGCGACAGTGTGAAAGAGTGACAGAATGAAAGATATGCAGATTGAGAGACATACAAAGCGGGGCGACTGAAAAACTGTCTGCAGGTATTGCTGAAGTTCTTATTCTAAGTTTACAAAAATTGAAGTTTTATTTTTTAACATTTCTTGCTAATTTTTTGACAAGGTTATTAAGAATAACTGGGAAAAAGTAAATAGGGGGACCTACCTTTGAAAGCGGAGTATGTCTTCAAATCAAAAATGCTTTCCTCGAGATCTATAAATAGTTGAGGAAATAACAAACTTATAAAGACTGAAATAAGATGATGAACAATTAAGGAATTTTTCATTAAGCGAGTACAGGACCCAATCTAACTAAGAATTCGATAGAGATCTCCGTCAACAGCAATATCTTAAAATTCGTGTAGTTAGGTTGTTAGTAAAATGATAATACTGTTAGAAATCAGCACTCTAAGCTCTATGGAGTTGGCTTTAGCCGGCTACTATTTATTTTTCTGTTTCGGAGGTAGAAGTCACGGATGATAATATTTACCAGGTCCCTTGGTATGCAATTGAAGTAACAGAAATCCAGTCTTTTTATTTAAACTTAGCGCAAGTGTTTAAAACTTACATACTATAAATGCGTTCCTCATTTTCATCCTCGTCAGGCGAAGACTCCTCATCTTCTTTTACCCTTTTAGATTTCTTGTATGGCGATGATTTCATTAACTCTTTAAGGACACTGATCCATTTTCCATGTTCTTTTTTTGCAACATAATATAAAATTACAAGGCAAGTATTCTTTTTATACTTAATATAATGGAATTACTGAAGTCTCCATACAACTCACTTCAGCAACGCATATTCCATGGAACTTGAAGTGGTTTTGCGCCTTTAGTTCATCAAAGTCACTTGGCCAAATATCGGCTTTGAACAGACGAACAGTGGTTTTGTCTCTTAGATCGAGAGGATAGTACAGCTTAGGTTCGGTAACCATCCAGACATCACGTGGTTGTTGGACAACCACATTCTTTTCTGGAATAAAATCTAACGTTATTTCTCATAAGAAGGGTCTATTTAAGTGTTTCTAGTGGTTCTTAATATTTTAAGTTAGTTTTATTAGTTCTTAAATTCATGGTTTTTAGTAGTCTTCTCTTAGTGAAATATGTACTTTAGAATGATATTATTATGAGAGACCAGCGTGGTATAATGCTGATAGATATCTCCAGTATAAATAAAGCTTTTATTGTTATTATTATCAAAGAATAACTATATCCTCGTCGTTTTTCAGTCGTTTAAGGGTAAGTTGTTCGTCTTCAGTCAAGTTTCTGCCATGTAGTGACTCAGTTCAGCAACGCATATTCCATGGTACTTGAAGTGGTTTTTCACCTTTACTTCATCAAAGTCGCTGGCCAAATATCGGCCCTCAAAAGAAGAACAGCGATTTTTTCTCTTTGATTGAAGGGATAGTAAAAATCAGGCTCGGTAACCATCCAGACATCACGTGGTTGTTGGACAACCCCATTCTTTTCTGGAGTAAAATCTAACGCTATTTCTGATAAGAATGGTCTCTGTAAGCGGTAGGAGAGATGGCATTCTGCTAGTATCTATGAAGCAAACACGTCCAAGCATGGATGACACTCTGTATGACTCTTCACTTTTTTGGCACTTTCCATGCACAGATATATATTGCACAAATATATATATTTACATGCTTATCATTACTGCCCTGACCATTATCATACCTCGTGTGCTGTGGTCACTAGAAAACGAAAACGAAGGCCCATCCTTTGTTCCTGCCCTGAAAACAGTGAGCTTCTCGTCCATTCCGATTGAGGAAGACCTTTCGAGCAAATAAATACGCAAGTGGATATTTGATTTGGAAAACAATTGATTTCTAAGCCTTAAGGATACGGTAGACCTTCGAAGTGCAATATTTTTGAAATTTTTTAACTATAATTTTAACTATGATTGCCAAGAAAACCTTTTGTATAATATTGAAACGTGCTGGAGTTATTTACGAAAAAGTATTTTGGAGCTGAATTCTTAAAGCTCGCCAAAATTTGTACAGTCAATTATAACATGTCAACATAAAGGACTCCTGGTCGTTGAAACATCTCCTCATTTTAGTTGCATGCGGAGATCTTTGCTGTCTGTATGCGTTTAAAACTAGAAAGTGAATGGGGAAAGAAAAAAAGGAGAAGAGTCGTTAGTTGAAGGTGAAAAAAGAAACCTGGCTGTCAGAACAAGTGAAGAAATTTGAAGCGGAAAGAGGAGAGAATCTCACCGAAACGGATAAAGACTCGTGTTTAGGCAATCTTTGCTGCTTGCACTCGATCAGAAACCTCTAGGTTTTTCCGCGGCGTGCTGAGACCGCTTTAAGGTTGAAAAAAAAAAGTTGGAATCAAAATTGCAGTTCATCAAAATGGAACCAAAGGTCTGTCACGGGTTACTGTTCCCCGACTCCAAGATACTAACCTAAAAAATTGTATGGGGGAACTCCGTTTTTCAAAATTGATCTCCGCAATGGCCTCCGACTTAATGCGTGTCGGTAAACTTTTGATTGGCAAACATAACAGTTTTATTTGTGCGCTCAGATTTAATATACGATTAATTCGCTCAAAGAAACATTCTAATTGTCGCGCTCCAATCTCTTTACGATTAGATAAGCTAAAACTCTTATCAGTAGCGATTTCGTAACCATTTGACGATAAAATTAAAATGAACGGTAAAACACGACGTTTGGACCAAACTTCGGTCATTTTCAAGTGAATAGTAAGAATGTTACGATTAATATATATGCGCGTAATGATAAGTTTTTAATTAGATTCTAATTATTTCTTCTCTTTCTTGTTCATATTATCTGTTTACAATTCCAAAAATTTTTATACTTCTCACACGCACATATATATATATATATATATATATATATATATATTCATCGTGACATTCCTACTATTCACTTGACCGAAGTTTAGTCCAAACGTCGTGTTTTACCGTTCATTTTTGTTGTCATAAGCTAAAACGAAATAAGTTTTGCCGAATAGTGCATTTCATAACATTTCCATAGACGTATAGTCTATAATAGTTATATATTATCATAGCCCCACAAGTCCAACTTACCTTACCTTGAATACAGGCACTCGCGGTTTGTTTGATGGATCTTAAACGGACGGTTCTTCTCTCCCTTCTACTTAAATTTTCATGACAATGACAATTATTTTCATAGGCTATGCTGTTGGTCTTTTCACTGTATCAGCACGTGAGATGAATTTCATTAATTGCTAAATGATAACAAAGAGGTAAAGATTCATTCGATTATCATTGCGCAAAAGTTTAGTTTGCCTCTACTTTGCTTATCCTAATAAGGTTTTGTTCTTATCTGACCTTTTATTCAAAGAACTGATTTAGAATCTAGAATTTTAATTCAACCCTAATTTGAAATAGGAGGACAACAATATTAGTAATATATCATGAATATTAATGTTCTAGGGTAAATGTTTGCTAGTAGCCACAATAACACGTCGTGCATGCACGTCATTACCGACATTACAGCTGCATTATCGATAAAGATAAGTATTCATCTAGAAAGTGCCAACATGTCTACAAATGAAGAGACTCTTGTAGGCCTTCAGAGAGAAAAGCAGTTCCAGTTTACTTACACGAAAATATAAATGGTTTGAAACTGATCAGGAAAGGTAGTAAACGGGAGGCCATTGTTAGTGAAGTCGTCGAAAAGAAAATCAAACTCTGCCCTCCAGATCTCTACAAAAGCCTCATGGAAGGGAAGAAAGATTTGAAGGAAGTGGAAAAGTATATGAGATGCGATTTTTTGTACTCTTGGAAGGGCAGAGATTTTTCCATGGTTTGGTATTAACATTTCATATTTTGCTAGCCTGAAGGCAGTTTACTTCTGTAGACATCTTAGAGATCACCGTATGGATTATCGATGATTGGCAGTAACGTTTTTTCCTAAAAAAATACCCCATGTATCGGAATAATGATTAAACTAGCTAACTGCTTGATGAAAAAAGAAGAGTTCCTAAAATTTAGAGAGATTTCGTACATTTAAGACTTGTTTTGATGTTAACGCTCTCTTAATTGATTACCCAGAGGCAATGCAAATCATGTTCACAACGTGTGTGCGCTTAATTTGTCTTGTAATATTTGTGTACTTTCTATAAAACCGAAATCGAAATGGTAGATTCAAAAGAGGAAGTTAAAACAATCCGTGATGCACTATAATTAACTAATCAGAGCGCACTTTTAATCGGTCACAAAACAACCATGTATGCAATAGAACATACTTCCCTTATTTCGCGGAATAAAAAGTGTTTATTTCAGCAACCGTTGTAAGCTAAATTCTGCAATAGATAAACCTCTATTTGTTTTCGCCAACCATTCATTCCCATTGTTGACTTAATTATACTCGATAGCGCAATGTATATGGCATTAAAATCCTTAGATAAACATTCCGTCAACCTACTCTCAGTAAGTATTTCCTGACAATATTTTCGTAAAGAGAATATACGTATATAATATATAGTTTGCAAAATGGGTGTAGTTATTCGTTCTGATCGATTACTGATTTTTTCTCCCGTCAGGTTTAAGCGTTTTTACCAATATTGAGGACATGCCAGATAATCTAAAAAAAAAACGTGAAGAGTTGTGGCAGCTGGACGAGGGCAGTCCTTTTCCAGACGAAGTAGAAATAATTGTGCCTGAGGATCGTCCTTACAAAGGATGCATTAGGCCGAAGGAAAACCTCAATACCCCTTTTACAAAGGACAATATTATTGAGGTAAATGCCATGTTTTTGATTGCTAATATTAAAAAATCCGTTTCGAAAGGAACTATGTATAGGTATGTATAAAACTGCAATTTTTTTCCAAAAAAGATGTACATACAGTTCAGAGCAGATTTATTTTTGAGAATTTAAGGTGGCTTTTCACGTACAGATTTTTTTGAGAACTTAACAAGGAATGAAATGCTGTCATGTTGATCACAATTCATTTACTTTTTTCAGGGGCTATCGAATTCGTTTTTGTGAGTGTAGTGGGGCTGTTTTTTGCCATAGTAATCTAATGTCCTGAAAATGATCAAAACATGTTGAGAAATTCGTCTATAATCTTTACGCCAGAGAGGTCCGTAAACTCAGATAAGTTTAGGATGTTTAAGCCTCTCTCTAATTCTGTTTTGCGCTCACTAAGATATGATGACAGAGACATGATTGTGATCCCGTCCAAAGTAAAGCATAACAACTCATCTGGCGTTACTAAACTATGGATCATCAGACCGCGGAACCTCCGGAACCATTAATTTCAGTTAAAAAAAGTAAATCAATAAATAAATGAATAAGAGCCATCTTCTTTATAACCGAAAAATGAAAGTTTGAGGAGTGAAAAGGTGATTTTAGTTTCTATTTTATTTAATTATATATTTTTCTTTTTTGACAAAAAAAAAAAAAATTGATGGTTCCGCTGATCCCCGGTTTAGTAACAGCCAGACGCATCTTCAACCCAATACTTTTCCAATTTCATTTCTTCCAGATGCTGAAATGCCTTCCCTGGAAGAAATACACCCAATAACTAGGAGCTAGCCTCAAACCAGAAGAAGCCGCACAAGAGAAGTCGAGTTAGATCATCGCTTTTGTAGAAAGAAGTATATGTACAACAATAAAAAGGACATCATTTTTTTTCCCGTTACTTTAATTTTAGTCTGATTGTTTAAAATAAAAAGTTTCTTGTGAATGCTAATCGACGCAAATTAAAAAAGAAGGGCTGTAGCTAGCGCTATGACTGGTTGTATTGTCGACTACATTTCATTTGGACCTGAGGCTGAGTGAGAACGTAAGAACAAACTTATGCTCGGAGCTTAAGTTTGTTCTTACGTTCTCGCAATTGCAAGAAAAAGTAAATACAAATATCGTGAGGTCAAGGAAACAATGCTTTCCTTGAGTTCACTTCTGGACAAAACCGAGCAAGACACAATTTCCTTTACTTTAAAAAGGATAGACATCTTTGACTCTGCCTTCACCATTTTGTAAGAGGTGCAAATGTTTCTTTCATATTTCTGTAAATTCTCGGGACATACTAAATAATCGCTTTTTGTTGCACTCATTTACTTTATTCACTTCCACGTAAAGCAAAAGGTCAACTGAAAACAAAACTTAGAAACGTAACAGGATATTGAAAAGCGAAACAATATAACTTAAATTCAAATGCCAACATTTGCGGCTCTAGTCCTCAGGAGAATATCCAAACACGTGCGTTCACTTACTCAACTAATCGTTTACTAAATCAAGTTACATATACTGTAATATACGATAAAAATAATGACGTGCGGTAACAATTTGTGTGTTTTTATTTCATTTCAAACAACGATTCCTTCGCTACAAGTTAAAGTGGAGAACAAGAGTTGTTATAAATTGAAAAAGTATACAATAAGGAGGGTCAAAAGTTACCGTTACGGTTTTACTTCTTTTTCTTTTGTTCTTTAAGCCTTGGAAATAGAAATACAGATTGAAAATTTTCAAAGGTCTCAGGATAAAACTTTTTTTTTAGCATTGTTGAGTGAGGCCGTTTACACCAAGATCCGACCCTGACACAAACAGCCGCCCAGAATCTACAGAGACTACGCTAAGATTTCAGTACGACCCGGCTAAACAAGATGGTGTAGTTTACAGGACTCCCTGCGGATGCGGCAAGGTGTACATCGGAGAGACTGGAAGAGCTATGCAAGACAGAATTAAGGAGCACAATCGAGACATTCGACTCGCCCATACCGAGACCTCCGCCGTTTCAGAACATGCCCACAACACCGGACACAAGCCACTCTGGAACGAAGTAAAGTTTATTGATTGTGACCCTTATTACTACAGGTGCAGGGTAAAGAGGCTTTTCATATAAGAATTCACCCTAACAACATCAACAGGGATTGTGGAATAGAAATTCCAGAAGCGTGGATGCCCACTATCAAGGAACACAACAACAGGAGAGCCGTGCGACAGCGGACCGCCGAGGGAGCAAATCACTGAGTGAACAGCAAGGATCGAAATGTACCAATCAGAGCTGTTGAAAAACAACTAATCACAGCAGAGCATCATGCTTTATAAGATCACGCATGACCAGTCGACCTCATCGCCTGAAGAAGACTAGCAGTATGTAGTCGAAACGTCGCGATCTTCATCACACGTGACTACATCGTGAGACAAACGAAAAACTTAGCTTTTTATTGTTATTCACCACGATGAATAACCACAACCTTTTCCACTAAACGTCCTTATCCACCTGTTCACTGTCAGGTTGGGTTATGTTGTCTCTCAGTTACTACTTGGGCCATCACTGGTCCATCAAGCGGGTGGTATTTCACTATCTGGCCTCCTGAATTCAAAAGTTTGCTTGAATTGAAATCTTCCCCCACTCTTTGAACCCAGAGATGTAATAAATATCTTACTAAGCTCATTTTCTCGGTCTAAAGTGAATATAGATGGTCTTAATGTTGGTGAGAGCATTATAGCTCCCGTAACTTCAGTTAGGAACTTGGGATCGTGGTTTATGAGTATGATACCACGCATTAATAAGATATGTAAAGCTGCGTCTTTTCCTATTTACAATATAAGGCGGATCAGAAAGTACCTCAACAATGATGCCACACAAACGCTCGTTCACTCCATCGTTATAGGCCGCTTAGATTACTGTAATTGTCTTCTTTATAAAGTTCCCGCGGTACACATGAGTAAGTTACAACGCATTCAAAATAACGCTGCCCGGCTCGTATGCTCAACTCCGAGGTTTGATCATATTACACCCGTCTTATTTTCTTTGCATTGGCTACGCGTTGTATACCGTATCGAGTTTAAAGTCTTAATTGTAACGTTAAAAGCAATATATCAACTTGCGCCGTCCTATATCTGCAATCTAGTTCGATGAAAGGGGAAATGTAAATACCAGCTTCGTTCTTCTGAAGAACTTCTATTGCAGTTGCCCATGGGAAGAACAAATAAAACTCTGAGAGACAGATCGTTCCAAATAGCTAAGTGCCCCTGCACTGTGGAACAGTCTGCCTGCAAGTGTCAGAGACATGGATAACTTTTTGGTTTTTAAACAAACGATAAAGACTTACTTATTTCGGAAGGCCTTTGCCTGTTATAGCTGAATTGATTAATTTTAGATTGTAAATTTTAGAAATTGTTAAGTATACTTTATTGCAATTATTACAGGTAGTTATAGTTGTAAGGCGCATTTGATCATATTCAGATGTTAATTTCCATCTTAAACTTGATCTTCCTTGTGTCTCATCTTGTTCCCTTAAATTTGAACATTTTGTTTTCAAGAGAAACCCATCAAATAAACAATCCATTGGGTCGACCGGTAAATTTTTTTAGTAGAAGATATAAGGCCGGAGAAAAAAGATCTAAGAGTCTGAGAGACCTCTTTGCTCAGCCGAAAAATCGCAGGAACTTTGTTAATGAAGAAAATTTGAAAAGAAAACTCTGTGGAACGCGGAACAGCGAAAGTTTGTAAAGATCAAACTTGGTGGATCAGTTAGGGGGAAATTATGCCTTTGGTGGACATAGAAAAATTTCGCGCTGATGAATATGAAAGATATACATAAATAAAAACGAGCAGACTCTTCTTTGTTAACGTGGTAAAAAGTTTAATATTCATGCCAGCGAAAAAATTCAATTCTTACGTAATAGCATTGATTGTGTACATATTAGCATACGTGTAGTTGACTACATATATAAAAAGTCTACTTGATCATATAAAAAGTAAAAATTTGACCATATAAAAAGTCGACTTGACCATATAAAAAGTGAATTTGACCATTTAAAAAGTCTACTTGACCATATAAAAAGTAAAAATTTGACCATATAAAAAGTCGACTTGACCATATAAAAAGTAAAAACTGATCTTATTAAAAGTAAAAAGTTGACCATATCAAAACTCGAGTTGACGATATAAAAAGTTAAAAGCTGACCGTATGAAAAGTCGCACTGACCATATAAAAAGTAAACTGCGTCACAGACTGAAATACAGAGGGAATATTGACTGGTTTGGCGTCCCATATAAAATGACAACGTTTAATTAAGGGGGTCTAAGGGTTCTTTTTTAACCCTCTTTTGACCTAGAAGTGGTAATTCATAACGACAAGATACAATTTCGTCGCTATGCTCTCTTACCAGAGAGAACGCATTCTACCTACTTAAAGGAAAGTTAAAAATTATCATGCTCTAGATTCCCTTAACCGTTGCGAATATGGCTAGTATTACAAAGAAATTCTTTCAAAATGTGGTCCTCTGTGTCGATTTGTAAAGCTACGAATTCCTTGAATTCGTACTACAAGAGAGTTAATAAACTTTCCCGATCGATGTCTATGGAAAATTTATACCTGACTTTTAACTATGGGACATTCGGGGCGTTTATTTGATTCTCAGTTTTTCACCTTCCCAATTCAGGCATAGTGTGGTAAACATTTTCCTCTCTTCCACTCCTCCAACATCTAAAATGCTGCAAAGTGTTTTAGTGGTAACTAGAGACCTGTCCCTTTCTTTTGCAAGTAACAATTCTACTAAATAGATTGCCGTATTCACCGATTGCGCAACGTGTTTACATATTTACAGAGGTCGCTGTGCGAACTTGGATTACCTGTGGTGGTAAAGGACTCAAATAATTTGTGTGAAATATCTATAAAGCGTTCAACGATTGCTTCGTTTTCAATGATTGACGGTACTAACCAAGAGATTATAATCTCTTGCACTAACCTATTCTATATCTTAAGATACTTGACGAATGACGGACCCTATTGAGACTCTCTGAATGGTCTTCTTGAAGATAGCCGTCGTTTTCAGTAGAAGCCTGGTGCGTACAAGAGTTGCAGAGTTGGAGATGGTGGTTTCCTAGTACTGAGGGCATTAAATTGGCAAATAGTCAGAAGAGTTCACTATTATTGTTGTTGGCACAAAATTTGTTTTCAACAACATCACATCTACTTCAATCCCATTAAAAGTGCTTTTGGTTTGGGAAAAACTCCTCCTCGTTGTATAATTTTACTTGATCTTAGTCGTAATACATCCACTTCCCTGCAATTCATTATCTAACACGCCATTCCCACTAATCCTCTTTTTAATGATCTCGATACTCCCGGACGTAGAGCGTACCTGGCCACCCTATTTTGTGCATTGTCCTGTAAAAATTAATAGAGAGATAAACTTTCATTTTTGTGTAGGTAATAAAATGATTTCGAGTGCAATTTGTTCTTAATGAGCGCGAGTCAATCATTCAAAGACAACAAATAATCTAAAAATGAGCTCGTAGGGTAAGTGAAATATGGAAATTTGTTAGTCAATTTTTCTCTTTCAAACAACTTACGATGGACAATCCTTCCCAGAACATTTGTGAGTAAGTGTTAGGAGGACGAAAATTGTAACAGGCCTTCCTTTCACGCAGCTTACCTTGTACAATTTTCTTGTCATTGTGCAACCCTTATCCTCATTTCCATACTGCTTAGAGGAGCATTTCTCACTTTCTGTTTCATCTTCTTCCAGCTCTGAAGATAGATGAGCTCCAGGTTATTTTAATTACATGCCATTCATGACCAAACTGAGTATGAGACCCTTTTATGACATAGTGAAAAAGTGACAGAGTGACAAAGTGACAGTGTGACAGTGTGACAGTGTGACAGTGTGACAGTGTGACAGCGTGACAGCGTGACAGCGTGACAGCGTGATAGCGTGACAGTGTGACAGTGTGACATTGTGACAGTGTGACATTGTGACAGTGTGACAGTGCGACAGTGTGACAGTGTGACAGTGTGACAGTGTGACAGTGTGACAGTGTGACAGTGTGACAGTGTGACAGTGTGACAGTGTGACAGTGTGACAGTGTGACAGTGTGACAGTGTGACAGTGTGACAGTGTGACAGTGTGACAGAGTGACAGAGTGAAAGATTGACGGAGTGAAAAAATGGCAAATTGACAGAGTGACAGAGTGGTGGAGTGACGGGGTGACAGAGTGACAGCTCTGAAGTGTGACGGAGTGTCTGAATGACAGATATGCCGACTGAGAGACATACAAAGTGGGGCGACTGAAAAACTGTCTTTAGCTATTGCTGAAATTCTTATTCTAAGTCTACAAAAATTGTAGTTTTATTTTCTCAGAAGAATAGTATTCTTGTTAATTTTTCGACAAGGTTATAAAGAATAACTGGAAAAAATTAAATTGGGGGACCTACCTTTGAAATCGAAGTATGTCTTCAAATCAAAAATGCTTTCCTCGAGATCTATAAATAGTTGAGGAAATAATAAACTTATAAAGACTGAAATAAGATAATGAACAATTAAGGAATTTTTCTTTAAGGAGTACAGGACCCGAAGAATTCGATAGAGTGATCTCCGCCAAAAGCAATATCTTAAAATTCGTGTAGTTAGGTTGTTAGTAAAATGATAATACTGTTAGAAATCAGCACTCTAAGCTCTTTGGATTTGGCTTTAGCCGGCTACTATTTATTTTTCTGTTTCGGAGGTAGAAGTCACGGATGACAATATTTACCAGGTCCCTTGGTATACAATTGAACTAACAGAAATCCAGTCTTTTTATTTAAACTTAGCGCAAGTGTTTAAAAGTTACATACCATAAATGCGTTCCTCATTTTCATCCTCGTCAGGCGAAGACTCCTCATCTTCTTTAACCCTTTTAGATCTCTTGTGTGGCGGTGATTCCATTTTTAACTCTTTAAGAACACTGATCCATTTCTTACAAGTCTCCAGTGCTGCTTTTTTCACACGATTATCTTTGTGGGGACCAGAGACAAGTTCTGGAGGCTTTATCGAGCTACAAGCTTCTTCCTCGTGGCCAGAATTTTTATTGCTCTTTGGATACCAATACCAATGACTCGCAGCCTTTAATTCAGCTTGAAAGTTGTATTCTTTAGGTGTGGTTGGATAATTGTCTTTCATGTATACCAGAACTGCTCCTACGAGTGTGTTAAAATCCATGCGGGACATTCCACCGTCACATGTTTCGAGTTTTATTTCTTTCCAATCCAGTGATTCCAGTTGTTCCTTCAAGTGTTTTGTACTTTTACCCTACAGTTTTTTAATGGCAAATAAAAGAGTTTGGAACAGAATTACATGGTAACTGAGTATTATAAAACTGATATTTACGTTATCAACCGAGTTGATAATGTAAATTGGCTACCGTAAAGAGTTTCAAAGCTGAACGTTCGAGCCCTCAGCCAGAGACAACAGCGTTCCATTGACACACAATGAATCTGGTATAAAAATTACGAAAATTGTGCAGTTGAGAAGAATAGAACAGATTTTATGGACTCACATAGAATCATGCCCTTGTTGCCTTAGGAGGAACAGAGTATAATGCGCAGTATAATGAGGAATCATTCCCAATTTATGCTACAATGCTACCATTGTTTCCCGAGGGTTAGTAAACTTTATTTGACTACTAATAATTAAATAATTACCGTAAATAATATTAGAACTGAACAAAAATTTGAAAGTGAAGTCCGCTGCAAATTGAGAATTTTGTGTTTAGCAGAGGAGAATGCGGGTAACAATTTCACGCCGCCCTTCAAAACAGCAGTCCAATTTAATCAAATGAGTTTTTTGATTAACTTTAGCGGCAATTTGTCGTCAAATTTTCCATGTCCTTTTTTTGCAACATAATATAACATTACAAGGCAAGTATTCTTTTATACTTAACATAATGGAGGAACTGAAGTCTCCATACAACTCACTTCAGCAACGCATATTCCCTGGAACTTGAAGTGGTTTTGCACCTTAAGTTCATCAAAGACACTTGGCGAAATATCGGCTTCGAACAGACGAACAGTGGTTTTGTCTCTTAGATTGAGAGGATAGTACAGCTTACGCTCGGTAACCATCCAGAAATCACGTGGTTGTTGGATAACTGCATTCTTTTCTGGAATAAAATCTAACGTTATTTCTCATAAAAAGGGTTTATTTAAGTGTTTTTAGTAGTTCTTAAATGAATAGTTTTTAGTAGTCTTATCTTAGCAGTTTTTAGCGTCTTTGAAATATGTATTTTAGAATGATATTATTATAAATTTTATTTACTGGACATCTTGTTTGGACCAGCGTTGTATAATACTGATAGATATCTCCAGTATAAATAAAGCTTTTATTATTATTATTATGAAAGAATAACTATGTCCTCGTCGTTTTTCAGTCATTTAAGGGTATGTTGCTCGTCTTCAGTCAAGTTGCTGCCATGTAGTGACTCACTTCAGCAACGCATATTCCATGGTACTTGAAGTGGTTTTTCACCTTTACTTCATCAAAGTCGCTTGGCCAAATATCGGCCCTGAACAGACGAACAGCGATTTTTTCTCTTTGATTGAGAGGATAGTACAGATCAGGCTCGGTAACCATCCAGACATCACGTGGTTGTTGGACAACCCCATTCTTTTCTGGAATAAAATCTAACGCTATTTCCGATAAGAAGGGTCTCTTTAAGCGGGAGGAGAGATGGCTTTGAAGGTTAATTTATGCTTTTTTGTATCAATTTTTTTTTTGTTTTTTACATCATACTTCTATAACCTTTAATTTTATGAAGTCGAGAGTATAAAGCCGCTTTATGTAGGGGAGTTTCTTTAAAGAAGGGGTTTTTGGAAATTTCCAGAAGCTTAGCAAGGGTCTAGCAAGAAAATATCAACAATTAATGTTCTCTTGTTTTTCATTATAAATCAAAATCTTATTTAACGGCAATTCTTTCAATCATTTGCCATGTACATGCAACTAATTGTGGTGATCGTGTACTCATAAAGTTATTGGATCTCATCTTTCCTTGCTCACGTTTTTTCATGTCATCGTTTTTGCAATTGAGTGTATACATTCCCGTCAAAGCAGTTGGAGTGGCTTCAAAACAATTACTGAACTAACTAGTGTCTAATTATTCACTCGGTTCAAAATTACCTATCTGAATCATCATGTTTTGCTTTGAGCTATCATTCCGCTAGTATCTATGAAGCAAACACGTCCAAGGCATGGATGACGCTTTGCATGACTCTTCACGTTTTTGGCACTTTACATGCACAGATATATATTGCACAGATATATATTTACATGTTTGTCATCACTACCCTAACCATTATCATACCTCGTGTGCTGTTGTCACTGGAAAACAAAAAGGAAGGCCCATCCTTTGTTCCTGCCCTGAAAACGGTGAGCTTCTTATCCATTACGATTGAGGAAGACCTTTAGCGCAATTAAATAGGTATGTTGATATTTGATTTGGAAAACAAATGATTTCTAAGCCTTAAGGATACGGTAGACCTTTGAAGTGCGATATTTTTGAAACTTTTTAACTATAATTTTAACAATGATTGTCAAGGGAAACTTTTGTATAATATTGAAACGTGCTGGAGTTATTTACGAAAAAAATATTTTCGAACTGAACTTTTAAAGCTCGCTAGAATTTGTATAGCCAATTATAACATGTCAATGTAAAGGTCTCCTAGTCGTTGAAACATCTCCTCATTGTAGTAGCACGTGGAGATCTTTGCTGTCTGTAAGCGTTTAAAACTAGAATGTGAATGGGGAAAGACAAAAACGAGAAGAGTCGTTGGTTGAAGGTGAAAAAAGAAGCCTGGCTGTCAGAACAAGTGAAGAAATTTGAAGCATAAAGAGGAGAGAATCTCACCGAAACGGATAAAGACTCGTGTTTAGGCAATCTTCGCTGCTTGCAGACGATCAGAAACCTCTAAGTTTTTCCGCGGCGTGCTGAGACTGCTTTAAGGTTCAAAAAAAAAAGTTGAAATCAAAATCGCAGCTCAGCAAAATGGAACCAAAGGTTTGTCACGGGTTACTGTTAAATTGTTCCCTGACTCTAAGATACCAACCTAAAAAGCTGTATGGGAAAACTCCGTTTTTAAAAATTGATCTCCGCAATGGCCTCCGACTTAAGGCGTATCGGTAAACTTTTCATTGGCAAACATAAAAATACTGAAGAAGTTTTATTTGTGCGGTCAGATTTAACATACGATTAATTTGCTCAAAGAAACATTCTAATTGTCGCACTCCAATCTGTTTACGATTAGATAAGCTAAGATACCAGAGGGTGCTACAAATCTTTAAGGAAAACAACTGTAGCATGGCAAATACGTTTCGGCTGGCCGGTTGCTCCCGCAGCACCCTCCGAGATTTCATCGCCATTGCTGAATTACGAATCGTGGATGAGCGTGAATTCGAATCGGCGTCAAGAGAAATATGCGTGGGCTTTATTAAAGACCTAGAAACAGTCTGCGGGAGAAGACTTCGGCGACACCTGCCAGCTATGGCAAACATGCGAGGAGAGGGACAGCTGTTGCCGCTCAAATTCTATGATCGATTTTACTATTAAAGTTGTCTCTCCTAACACACAAACGGCTCCTTTAGGAGCCACCAATAAAAATAAAGCCATAATAACGTGAAATGATTTACTTGAGACCGTGCGCAATTCAGAGGGGGATTGGGACAAAGTTAAAAATCCAAAATGGCGAACGAACCGAGAATCGAAGTGAGTGTTGGAAGAGAAATTGCCTAGAAATTGTGCTGAACTAACATAAAAGAGCCAGCGACCATTAAGAGTTTCATTTTATCTTTTCGATGCATTATCAAGGGTTGTAAATCATACACTTTTCAAGGCAATAATCGGCATGAAGTTACCGACATTCTACCGATAGATTACCAGCACCTTACCGACAGTCAACCGACAGTAAGTCGACTGTTGGCCAACAGATGTCCTGCAGGAAGTTATCTTAATCTAAATAAATCTGTCGGTCAACTGTCGGTAAGGTGTTGGTCGACAGTTGGCCAACTGTCGGCCGACTGTCGGCGATCTTACCAACAGTCGGGCGACAGATGACCAACAGTCGGCCGACTGTCGGTGAGAGGAGTTGTTCAACACGACGTTTCGACCAAACTTCGGTCATTTTCAAGTGAATAGTAAGAATGTTACGATTAATATATATGCGCGTAATGATAAGTTTTTAATTAGATTCTAATTATTTCTTCTCTTTCTTGTTCATATTATCTGTTTACAATTCCAAAAATTTTTATACCTCTTACACGCATATATATAAGTATATTCATCGTGACATTCTTACTATTAACTTGAAAATGACCGAAGTTTGGTCGAAACGTCGTTTTACCTAAAAAATGAAAGACGAAATAAGTTTTGCCGAATAGTGCATTTCATAACATTTTCATAGACGTATAGTCTATGGCGGTTATGCTTCAATAACGCAGAGGTCTACCTTATTTTGTTTTACAGCTTATTATTTACTTAGGTTCCCAAACGCTAAAAGTGTCATGGTTGATTTGTCCTTACAGACCTGAAAGTATTGTTCAACTGAAGATTTTGTTCTAAATCGTATAGCTTTCAGAATTTTTCAAACAACACCACGCAATTTAAGCATATTGAATTAGCGTGCGGCTCTCCTACACGCAAGAAATTCTGATGTCTCTCTATAGCTGCGATATAGCAATTTTAGTACTTCTTATTCAAAAACTCTTATCTAGAAATATTTCTTCGTCGATGCAGGTCCGACTTGAGTGATTATATATTATCATAGCTCCACAAATCCAACTTACCTTACTTTGAATACAGGCACTCGCGGTTTGTTTGATGGATCTTAAACGGACGGTTGACTTTTATTCTCTCCCTTAAATTTTCATGACAATGACAATTATTTTCACAGGCTATACTGTTGGTCTTTTCACTGTATCAGCACGTGAGATGAATTTCATTAATTGCTAAATGATAACAAAGAGATAAATATTCGTTCGATTATCATTGCGCAAAAGTTTATTTTGCCTCTACTTTGCTTATCCTAATAATCTTTTGTTCTTATCTGACCTTTTATTCAAAGAACTGATTTAGAATCTAGAATTTTAATTCAACCCTAATTTGAAATAGGAGGACAACAATAGTAGTAATGTATCATGAATATTAATGTTCTAGGGAAAAATGCTTGCTAGTAACCAAAATAACACGTTGTGCATGCACGTCATCACCGACATTGCAGCTGCATTATAGATAAAGATATATATTCATCTAGAAAGTGCCAACATGCCTCCAAAAAAACGGCTCTTGTAGGCCTTGAGAAAAAAAGTAGTTCCAGTTTAATTACACGAAAAGGATAAATGGTTTGAAACTGATCAGGAAAGGTAATAAACAGGAGGCCATTGTTAGTGAAGTCGTCCTAAAGAGAATCCAACCTTACGATCGAGATCTCTACAAAAGCTACATGACAGAGGAGAAAGAGGAAGAGAATATGCCATGCGATTTCTTTTATTCTGATAAGGGCACAAAGAATATTTTGCCATGGTTTGGTATTACCATTTCATATTTTGCTAGCCTGAAGGCAGTCTACTTCTGTAGACATCTTAGAGATCACCGTATGGATTACCGATGGTTGGCAGTGACGTTTTTTCTAAAAAAATACCTCATGTATCGGAATAATGATTAAACTAGCTAACTGCTTGATGAAAAAAATGAGTTCCAAACATTTAGAGCGATTTCGTGCATTTAAGACTTGTTTTGATGTTAACGCTCTCTTAATTGTTTACCCAGAGGCAATGCAAATCATGTTCACAACCTCGTATGCACGCGCTCAATTTGTCTCGTAATATTTGTGTACTTTTGTTGGTTTTAAATGTGGCTGAAGTAGATGGATACACAGCTAAATCCTATATAAAACCAATTTTTTGGTATTTTGAAAGAAATAAACTACATTGGAATGTTTTTAATTTCAACTTGTTGAATCGAAATATTTTGTCACATTTAGGTATTACCATTTTATATTTTGCCAGCCTGAAGGCAGTTTACTTCTGTAGACATCTTAGAGATCATCGTATGGATTACCGTTGGCAGTGACGTTTTTTCTAAAAAAATACCCCATGTATCGGAATAATGATTAAACTAGCTAACTGCTTGATGAAAAAAATGAGTTCCAAATATTTAGAGAGATTTCGTACATTTAAGACTTGTTTTGATGTTAACGCTCTCTTAATTGTTTACCCAGAGGCAATGCAAATCATGTTCACAACTTCGTGTGGGCGTGCTTAATTTGTCTTGTAATATTTGTGTAGTTTTGTTGGTTCCAAATGAAGCAGAAGTAGATGGATACACAGCTAAATCTTCTATAAAACCAATTTTTTAAAGCAAGACACTTCTACATTGGAATGTTTTTACTTTCAACTTGTTGAATCGAGATGGCAGATTCAAAAGAGGAAGTTAAAACAATCCGTGATGCTCTATAATTAACTAATCAGGGCGCACTTTTAATCGGTCACAAAACAACCATGTATGCAATAGAACATACTTCCCTTATTTCGCGGAATAAAAAGTGTTTATTTCAGCAACCGTTGTAAGCTAAATTCTGCAATAGATAAACCTCTATTTGTTTTCGCCAACCATTCATTCCCATTGTTGACTTAATTATACTCGATAGCGCAATGTATATGGCATTAAAATCCTTAGATAAACATTCCGTCAACCTACTCTCAGTAAGTATTTCCTGACAATAATTTCGTATAGAGAATATACGTATATAATCCCTTAGTTTGCAAAATGAGTGTAGTTATTCGTTCTGATCGATTACTATTTTTTCTCCCGTCAGGTTTAAGCGTTTTTACCAATATTAAGAGAAGCCACCTTCTCTAAAAGGGAAACCTCAAGAGTTGTGGCAGCTGGACGACGACAGTCCTTTTCCAGACGAAGTAGAAATAATTGTGCCTGAGGATCGTCCTTACAAAGCATACATTAGGCCGAAGGAAAACCTCAATGCCCCTTTATTGAGGTAAATACCATGCTTTTGATTGCTAATATTAAAAAATCCATTTCGAAAGGAACTATATAAAGGTATGTATAAAACTGCAATTTTTTTCCAAAAAAGATCTACATACAGTTCACAGCAGATTTATTTTTGAGAATTTATGGTGGCTCATTACGTACAGATTTTTCTGAGAACTAAGCAAGAAATGAAATACTGTCATGTTGATCTCAATTCATTTACTTTTTTTTGGGGCTACTGAATTCGTTTTTGTAAGTGTAGTGGGGCTGTTTGTAATCTAATATCCTGAAAATGATCAAAATATGTTGAGAAATTCGTCTATAATCTTTACGCCAGAGAGCTCCGTAAACTTAGATAAGTTAAGGATGTTTAAGCCTCTCTCCTATTCTGTTTTGCGCTAGCTA